TAGGTAATTTTTTTATTCATAACATCTCCCCCTTGTATTGTTTAAAATGAAGAGGACTGGGTTTGAGGGGCAGAATGCTTGCCAAACCATGGTTGGTAAATTTGTTCCTCTTCTTCAGAAGGGTCAGTATTTTCTACTGAGGCTTCCAGGTCATCCATTGGAGCACTAGGGGCTTCCAAATGGTAGACTTCAGGAGGGGAAGATGAGCTTGAAATTAGTTTGTAAACCATGCACTTAATTAGCCCAAAAACAATGCTAACAACTACAATAACAATAACTAGAATAAACAGTACTAAAAACACAGTTTTCAGAATAGATCCTAACTGGCCTAAGAGTTCCCAGCTTTTGAACAGTCCACTCAGCCAGTCGTCTGTTTCTCTCTTGATGTCGTTCACCATGGTTTTGATCTTGTCGATCATGGCATGGACGTTCTCTGCTTTCAATGAAAATTTGAGGCAGCAGAGACCTTTAAATTCTTCACAGTGATGGTTGTACAGGAGGAGCAGATAGTCTATGGCCACCCTGTTTTGAATGGTGGCTTGCCTGGTAATTTCCTCATCTGATAAGAGGTCACTCAGGGCAGTAGAAGTGAGGTTTGCCTGTTTTGCAACCCAACATTCCAATCGGCCTAATTCTCCCATGCTTTTTGCTGCCGAGATCCACGGCAGAAGGACTGTAATTGCGGTGGCCTTAAGTCTGGACCAGTGAACAATTTCTGAATTACAGTCTGGGTCTAATTGCCTTAGGTCCCTTTTTTGGATAGCCAATTTATGTGTATTGTTTTTTATTTGCCAATACATTAGATTTGTTCGATTTGGGGTAAACAGGCTCAGCTTGCCAAAGGTGCACGAACCTCCAAGCAGACGAGGGGGGAGACTTGCCCATGCTCTGTCTCCACATATTAAAAACACACCTTTTGGGAGTTCACTGAGCTTATAATCATAATTTGACGAGTGCATGACTAGGACTGAATTTTTGTACCAGTTTTTGTCTGTGTAGTATGGTTTGCTAGGGTGAGGATAGGTGTTCAGTTCAACTTCATAATGTGATAACCTGGGATTAAATTTAAAGTGAATGCAAAAGGTTGCATTCATGGAGCCCAAGAGATGGAATTCTTGTGGTTCCCTTTTTGGCACCGGTAACTTGCCCACTCCTGCCAAAACAGTAAAGGGTTGTCAGCAGGGTAGTGACCAGGAGGAGGTGTGAGTTAATTTCATTTAAAGCATGCCACATTTCCTTTGGGAACTGCAGATTTAAAAGGAACTCCCACCAGGCAAGTTGACAGGGGGTCACAGGCTGTTGCTGTGGAGACACAGATGTGATCCTGTCCAAGGGCTTTGGCCAAGGTGGTCCATACATTTGCTTTGGGCTGAGGGACTATCCAGGAGATTGCTGGTGGAATGATCGCAAGTAGGATGAGGAGTAGACTCGGTCTCATGGTGTCTTGAGACTGCACACGAACAGCGGGATCTAAACCGGTAAAAGGAAACTTAAGACAAAAATATATTACAAACTGTTCCAGATAGGAGGTATAAATGGAATTTTTTCCAGGGAACACACACTGCGCCTCCTCCTCCAGGCAGCATTAGCAACCTAGGGCGCTTCTGTAGTCCTCCCTGAGACCTTGGGGATGTAGGGCCTTACCCATTTGGATGGAACCCACTTTAAACCAGAGGGGGTGGACACGCAGGTGTATCCACGTCCCCATGTAACTAATTTGTAAGGGCCCATTGTCTTCCAAGTCTCAGGGTCCTTCACTAAGACTGGAGGCTTTTCTTTCACTGACATCTGACTGCTCCCCCCAAAGTGGCGTATGATGGGCGGATTCAGGCTGTCAAAAGAACAGTTCAGAAAATTGATTGTGAACAGTGCTCTAGACAACCGGATGTGGGGAGGTTCCACTTTCAGGATCTGATGTTGCTGGTCCAGGACTCTTGTTATCACGGTGAGTCCTTTCCACTACGGCTTGACCTGTAGGGGAGTAGGGGATGACTTTTTTGTGCTCTACTCCACAGTGCTGCAGGAAACTCCCAAATTCCTTGGATTCGTAAGTAGGCCCATTATCAGTTTTTAACTCCTTAGGGATGCCCATGAAAGAGAAAGCCTGTAGCAGGTGCTTTATTGCATCAGAGGATGATTCTCCCTTGTGGGCAGAGGCATAGACTGCTCCAAAAAAGGTATCTACACTGACATGAACATATTTCTGCCGTCCAAATGATTGTATGTGTATTACATCTGTTTGCCACAGTTCACAACTGTTCAACCCCCTCGGGTTTGCTCCCGCACTTATTGTGGGGAGTGCATGTTGTTGGCAGTTGGGGCACGTGGCCACAATCGCTGTGGCCTGTTCTCGAGTGATGTGAAACTGACGAACTAGGCCAGGTGCATTTTGGTGGAAAAGCTGGTGGCTGATTTTTGCCTGTTCAAAAACATTTGGGAGAAAGGCCATCTCTGCAGGCGCAGCAAGAGCATCTGCCCTTCTGTTGCCTTCAGCGATAAAACCAGGTAAGTCGGTGTGTGACCTGATGTGCATCACATAAAATGGTTGCTCTCAGTGGGAAACCAGCTTTACAAGTTTTGAGAGCAATTCGAAAAGTGCGATGTTAGACACTTCTCGCAGTATTATTGCTTGATCTGCCCTGGATACTACTCCTGCCACGTAGGCAGAGTCTGTGATCAGATTGAATGGTTCTGAGAACTTTTCAAAGGCTCTAACAACTGCTGCCAGCTCAGCAACCTGAGGTGAACCTTCCACTTCAGCAATGTCCATCTCCCACTGCTGAGTTTGAGGATCCTTCCAAGACATAACAGACTTGTGGGATCTCCCGGATGCATCTGTAAAGACTGTCAGAGCCTTTTTTAAAGGTCTACTTTGAACGTTTTCCAATTTTAGAGTGAATTGGAGTTTTTGTTCAAAAAGTTTGTGGGCAGGCCAATGGATAGAAATTTGTCCTAAGTAGGAATGCAGAACAAACTGCAAAGCCTCATTTTCCTGAAGCAAATGCTCCAACATTGCCTTTGTAATTTGGCCCGATTTTAACCTGATTGGAATGTGAATGCACTCAAAGTCACATCCTGCCAGCTCCCTGATCCGGGTCCGGGTCCTCTCCCCCTTTCAACAAATCGAAAAGAGGGGCAAGGTCTTCGTTGGCCAGACCTAGCCAGGGCCTTACCCAATTTAAAGACCCACAAAACTTGTGGACATCCGCAAGGGTCTCGATCCTCGTTTTGATCTCTAATTTTTGCGGAACAATGGTCCTTTTTCCAATTTCTAAGCCCAAATATTTCCAAGGTGGCATCTTTTGAATTTTCCTTTCCTGGAGCTCAAACCCTGCAACAATCAATGCATCGATCGTTAGGTCAAGCATGTGGGTGAGTAAATCATCATTGGGGGCACACACAAGGATATCATCTATATAATGATAGATGATGGCCTTTTCTGCTGCTGCATGCACCGGGGACAGTAAGGAAGAGACATACCATTGGCAGATTGATGGCAAGGCCTTCAATCCCTGAGGAAGAACTTTCCAATGGTACCTTTTCCAAGGGGCTTCCCTGTTGATAGTGGGGACCGAGAGTGCGAAACACGATGCATCATCAGGGTGTAGGGGAATTTGGAAAAAACAATCCTTTATATCAATGACAGCTCAATTCCAATTTTGGGGGAGCATCGCTGGGGATGGCATACCAGGTTAGAGAGAACCCATATCTTCAATGACATTATTAATTTGTTGGAGGTCGTGGAGGAGCCGCCATCTCTTTTTGTCAGCCTTCTGGATGACAAACACTGGAGAGGTCCACGGAGACATGGTCTACACAATGTGACCTTTTTTCAGTTGCTCTTCCACTAGCTCCTCAAGCGCCTTCAGTTTTTGTTTACTGAGCGGCCACTGTTCTACCCAGACTGGTGTATCTGTCTTCCAATTCAGTTTTTGGGTAAGGCACTTTTCAGTGACTGCTGCCTGAAAATCCTGTGGAGAGTCTGGAATGTCAATTGTGACTCCGCATTGTGTCATTAGGTCTCCCCTCAACAAGGGTTCTGGATAATCTAACACAAACGGACGTAGATTTGCCAATTGTCTGTTTGGCCCCTTGATTTGGACGACCCTCTTAGATTGTCTCGCCAATTGCCTGCCCAAATACCTTGAACGTGACCAGCCATGTTTTGCAAAGGCCAATGTGCTGGCCAATCCTGTGTTGGGATCACTGTGCAGTCCGCACCTGTGTCTATGAGTATCTCAATGCATTTTGACTCCCCACTCCCTCTGACATTACACCAGATTTTGGGTTTGTCCTTCCCAATAGCTTGGACCCGGGTGACTGTGGGCCCTTGTTTTTTGGTGCCTTCAGGTAGACTTGGCACTGGGATAGCTTGTGCTACAATTTGTCCTTTGGGAAGAAACAGGGGTGGGTGTAAACAGTGCAGCACGAGAATGAATTGCTCAGGATCTGATGTTATCATTCCTGTAGCAATTTCGATCTCTTGTGGTGTGTGTTTGGTGTCCCCAATGACAATGTACTTACAGCGAATTCGATGTCAAGTACCCTGCTGTTGTGGGTTGACGGAGACAAAATGCCAGTCAGTGTCTTTGAGGTGGAGTGGTTCTGTCAGCTGCAACCTGAAAGGCTCATTAACAGAAGTTGTGGTTAACATAGGTTTGCCTTAGTCATAGCAAAGGTTATTTGGTTTTACTTCCAGTGGTGGACCAGCAGACGTGGTCTTTGAAGCATCTGCTTCACTTAGAGAAATAGGGATGGTCTTTTTCACCTCCCCCATTCCTTTGGCCTGCTCTTTTTGTGTCTGTGAGCCTGGCAGGTCGGCAGTGCTCCCCATTGAGTTTTTTTGTTGTTATTGACTCCCTGGGAGCACTTGTAGTTCTCTTCTCATGCTATTTTTAAATTCATCAAATTTTTTTCAGAGGACACTGGTAAACCCACTGCCCAAGGTTCTTACAAAGCAGGCATGGCTTTGTGGGGTCATCCATTGCTGGTCTTTGCTGCTGCCCAGTGTGCCGCTGTGCTGATGGAAAGGGCACTGGGCTGGCAACGGCGACTCCCTGTGGTGGTCTTGGCAGCAGCTTTGGTCTGGTGTCCTGAGCCACACTCATCAGAGGTACTTTCCTGTTACAAACTAGAAGCATATCTTTTAGTGTGGGGGGGGGAGGTTCCAAAGGCAAGCTTAAAATTGCAGTTCAACATTGTTCATTTGCATTTGTATATGCCATTTCCTCTAAAACTTCCTCCCTTGCATTCACTTTCTTGACTTGGATTTCAATAGCTCTAGTTAACCTTTCCACAAATTTCAAAAAAGGCTCTGATGGTAGCTGTTTGATTTTACTATATGGCTTGAGAGGGCCATCAGGTTGAAGGGTAAAGAAACCTTTTTCAGCTGCATTTTTGACTCTCTCAAGGACCTCCATAAGGATTGCTGCAGCTTGGATTGGGGCTAAAGACCATTGGGCCCCACCGGAGAGATGCTCAATGGTAATCAGCATACCATTGGCATCTTTTGCTGTGTTTGGATCAGCATGCAAGTCTGGGAGAGCCTCTTTCAGTAGTTGCTTCCATGCTATTTCCCATAATTTGAAATCTGTAGAGGTCATGAGGCATGAAAAAAACTGTTTTAAATCATGTGGGACTACTACAGTCTTACTCAGTTCAGCATTTAAAAGGCCACGGAAGTATGTGCTATGTGGGCCATACTCTTTGTGTGCTTTGCAGACCTCTTTTATAATTTCTTGACCAAAAGCTTTCCAATTAGCAGTTGTGGCTCCTCCCCCTTGCCCTGCATGCTGATATGTAACAGGGGTGAATGAGAAAGTGGGACCCTGTATTGGGTCTGCGGTTCCCTGCTCCTCATCTTTTGAATTGGAAGCATTGGGATCACTGGTGCCGCTATATGGGCAAGCAGTGGGCGTGCCCCCACTGTGGGAAGCCGGGGAGGGGGTGGGGACACTGTGGGAAGAGGGAGCGGGGACAGGGGGTTGGCAGGGGGCGGGTACGCCTGGTGACATCATGTCGGCAGACGCCCCCTGGCAGGCCAGGTAGTGCATGGCAGCACGTGGCTTCCTCCATTTTCTCAGCTCTCTAGGGACTGGGAGCCATTTTGGGGGTCACTGCTATCTGAGAAACTGACACGTGCTCGGGGTTTCTGAGCTGGGGACACTGGGGATCGGGGAGGATTCCATGCAGTCTGGCCACGACTTTGTGGACAGTGGGACTCGGGCATTTTAAGATGCTCAGGGAGCCGGCTTCCCTGGGCATGAGCAGAGTCTGCTCTCTTTAAAATAACGAGTTTTGGGGTAGAGGGTTCAGAGCTGGGGTGGAGAGAAATAGGAAGAGCAAAGGTACATTCCTTGTTATTTGGCTTTTCCTTCACTTTCCTTTGCTTGAGTAAAGCTGATCGAACTTGTAAACTCCAAAACACAAATTTAGCTGAAGATGTGTCCCCAGACTTTCCCAAGGTTATCAGTTTGTTTCCTACTTTGTCCCAAAAGTGGATATTGTGGACTTGTTCAGGAGAAACTTGTGGGAAGTGTAGGAAAAGCCAGCTTATAAACCGTTTCAATTTTCCCTTAGAAAATGAAACCTTTCCACTAACTAAAATTCCTATAATCTGATAATATACTCCTTTCTGTGCCGTGCTTAGCTTAGACCCCATTTTAGATGCAAAAGGCACAATACAACCCCACGCCGACCAAAAACAGACCCGAATTCGCTGCCGATTTTCAAAAGCCACCGTTAAGAAGTGTAAACACCCAGATTTTAGCCCTGCACAGTGCAGCAGCCTGTACAGTTTTAAAAGTGCCACCAGCAGCAGCACAGAGTCCGAATTCACTGTGCCACACCTTCTCGGAGTCGTGCGCCGCCGTGCCGCGAGAAAACCGAAAGCCCCCCTGCTCACGCCACGGGAAAAACCCTAAAGCTGCGCCGCGCTGCTGTGAAGGGGCGGAGTAGGTAGAGCCCCCCCCCCCCC